TATCTTACACTTGAAATTTCAGGGAGCTTTGCAAACTTGTAAGGATTATTTCTCTCATTCTATTGGGAAGAAAACTGGGCCACACCCCACCCAAGACAGTAAGTTAGATAAAGTCAACAGTAGAAGTGGTAAGTGCGACATCCTCTTTGCAGGCCGCTGAATCTCACTTCCTGTGAGTCAGGCCAAGTCCAGAATAACATCATTAGGGCTGACCCCTGTCAGAACTGCACATACATACAGCCCTTGCAACCACATGGAAACCATTGCTGGTCCTGGGGAAAGTCTGTTGTTGTCCAAGAGATGACTGATCACATATTCGCAGCTGGAGATTAAACGGATTCAAAGATGTGGTGATGACCACCTTTTGCCATCACTCCAAAAAGACTAATGAACTATATGTGTTTATTTGTATGATCTCTGTAAGCCCTAGAAATAAAAAAGGCTTACATGTGAGTGCTAGTTTAGGTTTTGGCTAATGTATTAAAACACTGACTGAATGTTTGGTCAATCTTGGCCAATCTTGGTCAATCTTGGGGTACGAGGAACCTAGCCTCCACATGTCCAGATGCTTCTCCTACTCACCCTCTACTGAGCATTCAATACTATTTTTTTTTAATGTCAAGTGCTATTTATTTTGACATTTTAGAAATGTCCCTGAAAGACAAATCAGTGTCTTTAAAGATGAATAATCCTGATAGTAAATTTAGGGCTTTGAAAGTCAACACATATCCCTCCCTTCACCATGATGGCAGATTTTGAAACCTTTTTGCAGGAATTAGAAGTAGCCTTGGTCCTCTTGGCCAAGATTGACCAAACATTCAGGCAGTGTTTTAATACATTAGCCAAAACCTAAACTAGCACTCACATGTAAGCCTTTTTTACTTCTAGGGCTTACAAAGATCATACAAATAAACACATATAGTCAGATGCACATTCCAGAAAATCAATACAGGCAGAACATATTTTCTTTTTTTCCAACCAATGTATCAAATTAAATACAAAGTCAAATTGCTCTATAAGATAATTTAATCCCTTGGACCAAACTCAGCCTGCCTTCTGTCTCGGTAGGTGAAGGTGTCTGGACAACCTGTCATGCCCATCCATTCCCAGATTGTCTGTGGGCTGCTTTTGTGTTACAGCAACGTGGTTGAGCTATTGGCACAGAAAAACGTATGGCCCGCAAAGGCTACAGTTTACTTTCTAACCCTTTATAGAAACGAGTTGACAACCCCTGGCTTGTTCTATAAAATGAGTTAGTTAGCCATAAAAGATCCTATAAAATTATGAGGAAAAAATAGTCACGTCTTTAGAGCAGATTCAGGGGATGCAGCCTGGTTAAAAATGCCCTCCCTGATCCTGGCTGTTGTCCATGGTACCTCCCTACCTCCATCCACGAGCCATGAATTGGCCATAAGGGAAGCACATAAGGGAAGTTGAGTCTGTCAATGATTCCCAGTAGGGAATTATACCTCACCTCAGAACCACTCATTGACCTCAGATACCCATTTGTTCCTTTTCTAGCTACCAAACTCCCTGGTCTTAGCTCAGCACCCAGCTGCTCAGTCAACATTGTCAGGTGCTTCAGAAGCCAAGGAGGATGAGGAGCAACCGTCTCCTAGTGGAGACGGTTAGATAAACAGTGGAAATTAGATAAACAGTGGTTACTTTAATGAGGGCAGGTATAGGGAGGTGGCAGTGTAGTCGCCAGTGTGAATGGCAAGTGAGAGAGAAAAGATGAGAAGTGTTGATTGTGCAGGCTTCTGCAAGAAAGGAAATGAGACAAGAGGGCTGTCCTTCAAGGAAGAGGCTTGTTTTTTTTTTTCTTTGAAGTATTTATTGATCATCTTGTATGTGTCAAGCAAAACATCACCAGCCAAATTCCACAAACAATTCTAATTTATAATTTATAAATACCATTTTGACTTGTGTTCTACTTTTCCCCCAACCCCCAGGTTGCTTTAGGCCATGTATGCCAGAACCTATCAAACTCTTTCTCAATTTTGCATCTCAGAAACATGGAACTTACTCTTTCATCTATCTGGAAAATTTTTCGTCTCAGGCTAAATGTCACCTCATTAGAGAGACCTTCTTTATCCAATATAGAAGTTCCTTTTACTACCTATCCTCTACTCTTCTTCATTTTTCTCCATTGTAGTTATTATCATCAGATTTGTACAATATCTATTTTGTTCATGTATTCCCAACTATCTAGAACAATCTCTGGCAAACATTAGATACTCAATATTTGTAAATGAAAAAGGAAATGATTTTCACCATTGAGGGAGCTTATATATGCCTATATTAATTATACCATCGTCATTTTGATGAGTAAAACAAAACACGCATGATTAAGTTATTGCATAATGTTATTAGTAGTCACCTAAAATAGCTCTCTTAAGAATTCTTTTCCTTACTGAACTACCTATACTGAAGCACCTTCTTATTCTTTATGTGGCTTCCCATTTACCAGCTTCTTTAAGGTAAGATACTTGAATTACATGGTAGAAACATTATAGATGATGGAATCTCAACACCCGCCACCCCAATTCAGACATCATTACCTTAATTACTCTTTGTGGAAGAGACTTGTTAAAAGGGTTTTGTTTTGTTTTAAGGATGGTGTATATTTAAATGTGCGAACAGGCTGAGATCAAGAATCTAGGGAAAAGCCAGAGGTGGGAATCTGAAGATACAGAACAGATAGAGGTGGCAAAGCAAGAACTCAAAGAATGAGAGGTCAGGGGGTTGAGACGGGTGGAGGGCTTTGCGTTGGACAAGAAGCAAACCCACAGTGGCTACATGGACTACAATCACCAAAGCTCGTTATGAACCACAGAGCAGGTTAACGTAGCAGAAAGGCAGCCCCTAGGGAAGCCGAGGTACTTGTGCCATCGGCCAAAGGGCCAATGAAGAACTAACATTTTGAGTGGCAGTTGAGTGTCCAGGTACACTGAATAACATTTCAGAGAATCCCCTGCTTTCCCTCGATGTTCTGCCTCCTGGGACGTCTGTCTCAAGCCATTCAGGAGTTCCTGAGAAACCTTGAAGCTGGCTTGAAGGAAGCTATGTACCTATTTGCAAAAATCACATTCGCCTTTTAACTAGATTTTAGCTCTAACTTACAAACCAGCCCAATGTTTTCATACCTGTATTTGCACAAAATGTAGAGAAAACGTCATATTTCATAAAGAGTGAAAAGCATGGAAATCAGGAGAACAATTAAACTGTCAGAGGAGGAAGCACTTTCTGGTGTTGACGCTGATTCTCTGTTTACAATAGCACTTGTTCAGGAAACCTTCAATGATTCATACAGAAAACAAAATCAAGAAATTACTTTGTCAAAATGTGCAAATTTAACCTCCAGGGATTTGGGGAGGGGGCGGTGGGAGCAGTTCTGTAATTACAAGTCGCATGGAGGTACTTCATTCTTGGCAGTGATGGGGAAGCGCAAATTGAAAAGTATGTAGTGACAGTTGGTGGCAGAAATCCTAGAGAAAACTAAGCCTGCCAGGTACCAATCCGTGCATGACAAGATCATCGCAAATGCTTGGATGACTCATATTTTCCCCTTACAGTTGCACGGTGGTTCTATGATATGTGATTTTTGAGACTTTATAATTATACCTGGTGTCACACATGGTCTCAGGAGACACCACAATCTTTTTATTTGCTCCCTTCTCTTGGGTCAAAAACCCAGAGGGGTGAAAAATAGCCAAAATATTTTGGAGGTTAGACATCATTTTGGGTTTTTTAAGAGCTATACAAAGTTAAACTCTCATGGTTTTGAAATTAACAAGGAGAAATAAAGCAAACAAACAAATTAAACATGACATGTGGTGAGCATCGCATTAGCAGCAAACATTGACTCTGTGGACCCTTACTCCAAGTAAGGGGAAGGGCTGAGTGATTCCATCCATCATTTCTTCCTTCCTGCTTCCCATAAGTAGTGTTAGGAGACACTGTGCTGGCATGCTAGGGCTGCTACAACCAAGTCCCACAAACGAGGTGGTTAACAACCGAAATGCACCATCTCATGATCTGGAGGCCACAACTTCAAGATCAAGGTGTGGGCAGGGTTTGTCCCCTCTGAGGCGGTGAGGGAGACTCTGTCCTGGGCCTCTCCCCCAGCCCTGGTGCTTTGCTGGCCACCTTCAATGTTCCTGGACTTGTAGAAGCATCACCCTGATCTCTGCCTTCATCTTCACATGACCTCTTCCTGTGTGTGTGCCTGTGTTCAAATTTCCCCTTTTTAGAAGGACACTAGTCATCCTGGATCAGGGCCACCCTAATGCCCTGACCTTAACTGGGTGTAAAGACCTTATATCCAAATAAGGTCATATGCTAAGGTGGCAGGGTTTAGGACTGCAACATATCTGTTTTTCTTTTCCTTGTTACTTCATTTTTTTTTTTTTTTGGTGGGATGGGCAGAGGGGCCACATTCCATCCCATAGCAGGCACTTTGAACTTGGCCCTATCCCAGGTGAAGGTGGGCAGTGATCAACAAAAGAGAGGCAGTGCTTGTCTTCATAGAGGTCAGAATCAGGAGGAAGGACCAGTCAGTCGATTAACAGGCATTTAGCAAACGGTGACTTCATGACGGTTACGGTGAGTGCTAGGAGGGAAAACCCACAGGGGCCAGGAAAATGTGCAATGGAGGGATCCACACCATTGGGGGCCAGGATCTGCTCCCCAGGAAACAGCGCAGAGAGGAGGCCGGTGTTGCCAGGCTAGGATGGTGAGGGCGTCAGCGGAGAGAATGGCCTGTGTGGGGGCCAGTGGGGGAAGCGGGTGGATCTTGGCAAACAGCAGGAATGGAAACGGCTGGAGCATATGTCTCAATGACATAGTCATAGAAATGAGAAGAGAACCTGCCATTCTCACTGACTGCTCTCTTATCTCCCCACAGGCTACTGTTCCGTGGGCTCCTTGCACCCACTCCCTTCCTACCCTCTTTTTATAACATTTAGAAGCATTTCATTTTGTGTTTTCTTATTTTTCAGGAACACATTCATGAACTGCCCAATGCCAATGCCCTGTTTTCAGAAGGCGTGTCCCCCATACCTGGCTTCAGGATACCACCTTATAAGAAGCAAGCTGTGACAGCTCCCAGCCCCGAGCCCCTTTGCTGAATTAGGCACTTTTCACCATGTTCTAGCATCATCTATGGTATAGTCATTAAAAGCACAGAGTCTGGATTCAGACTGCCTGGGTGGGAACTCTGTCACAGCGAATTGCTCCGAATTTCCACTTCCTCAGCTGTAGAACAGGCATGCAGAGAGTTCAGCACTCCGAATACCCTGCTCCCCAATTTTTTATGAAGATCAAATGAATGAATCCAGGTAAGGCACTTGGAACATTTCCTGGCACAGAATGAGAAGAAAATAAATATTGGACATGACAACACTCAATGTAATTCCTGCCTGCTTAAAATACTCTTTCACGTGATTTTAAATGTCTTAGGGACCTTTTCACCCAGTGCCTAACAAATCACGTGGATATAGTACATGCACAGTCAGAAATCACCGAGTGAATGAATAAATGAATGAAGCATGTGTTGAAGCAGTGCCTGAAATATGACACATTCCAATTCCTGCCTCAAATTAGAGATGGCCTAAAAGACTAAGGTCATTTCTAAGAATCTTTCTTTAAAGAATTACTAATTCACATTCTATCAATGTGGGGATTCACAGCTTGACTTATTATTTGTGAGCTAATTTGTGAATTATTATTTGTGACCCGATCTGTGAATTATTTGTGAGCTAATTTGTGAATTATTATTTGTGAGCTGATTTGTGAATTATTATTTGTGAGCTGATTTGTGAATTATTATTTGTGAGCTGATTTGTGAATTATTATTTGTGAGCTGACTCACAAATAATCTGACAAACAGGCCACAGTCGCTAAAAAAAAAAGTTCTTGTTTTATTTAAAGTGTATTAAAGTAGTAACTATAGGTAAATATTTTAAAATATATAAATCACATGACCATGAAATGTCAGGGGACATTCTGAAAGCCCCCTGTTAAGAAGGCCCCCGTGTAAGTAAGATAGGCTCTAGGTCCATTCAATCAAATGAAGTATGAATGTGTTCAACACAACGTGTCAGTTGTGGACACTAAAGGTCTTCAGGCAGTACTAGTGATGCATTGTTATGTAGTGTCAGCTTTTACATTTAATCCCCACATAACCATGGGAGGGAAATGTTATCATCATATTATATGGAAGTAGAAAAATGCAGAAGCTGATTCAAAGCCAAGTTTCTCTTCAGGGACTTTCAAATTGCCATTTTGGTTTTATCCTAGAAGTATGCTTCTTAATCTCTACTTCAAATTTGGTTCACAAAGGCATACAGCAGGTTTACTGTGTGTGTCTTTATTGATACATCATAACTGTACATATTTATGGGGTACATGTGATATTCTGATACACACATACAATGTGCAATGATCAAATCAGGGTAATTAGTATGTCCATCACCTTGAACATTTATCATTTATGTGTGTCAAAAACATTTCAAATCTTTTCTTCTACCTATTATGAAATTTGCAATATACTCTGGCCAGGAATGATGACTCATGCCTGTAATCCCAGCACTTTGGGAGGCCATGGCAGGTGGATCACTTAAGGTCAGGAGTTCAAGACCAGCCTGGCCAACATAGTGAAAGCCTGTCTCTACTAGAAATACAAAATTAGCCAGGCATGGTGGCATGCCTGTAATCCCAGTTACCCGGGAGGCTTGAACCTGGGAGGCAGAGGTTGCAGTGAGAAAAGATCATTGCCACTGGGAAACAGAGCGAGACTTCATCTCAAATAATAAAAGTAATTATTATTATTATATACATACATAGTATTTTTAACTATATTCACCTTACTGTGCTATTGAACACTAGAACTTATTCTAACTGTATGTTTTTACCCACTAACAAACCTGTCTTCATCTCCCCTACACTTCTCAGCCTCTAACTATCATTTTACTGTCTACTTCCCTGGAATCAACATTTTTAACTCCCATATATGAATGAGAACATGCAATATTTTTGTGCCTGACTTATTTCACTTAATATAGTGACCTTCCGTTCCATTCATGTTGCTGCAAGTGGGATAAGATTTAGTACTATTCTTAGAGCTGAACAGTATTTTAATGTGTATATTTACCATATCTTCTTTATCCATTCATCTACTGATGCTATACAAGAAAACTCCACCTTTGTTTTTCCTCAAAGCTAGGGTAGACATTGAGAAAGGGAGAAAAGCGTGGCACTTAGTGTCCTCTAGTGGCTCAAGGACATTGGCTCCAGGAGTGAGAAACTCAGTGGCTGGGGAGTAGAGGAGAGCCACTCATGCTGCAGTGCCTGGTGTTTGAGCATGGACAGTACCTCATGTGGGGTCATCCTGGCTGCCTTTCATGTAGGAGATGGTGAGACCGGGCATGCCGGCCATCTCCCCAGATACTGCTGAACTCAGCTGATTATATATCTGCATGTGCTGCCATCAAAGAATCAGCAAAGGTAACTGACTAACCCAAAGAGAGAAAGGTTGATGACTTTGACTTAGGCAGAGACACTGAGAAATGATCAACTTGTACATGCCAATAGAGGCAATGAGAGACACATAACAGAGGCTTGGGACAGTGTTTTCCAATTTTTTCCATCTGAACCTGAGTATCATTATTGTAAAAATCACAGAATCATCTGTGAATGACGACATTCAGAGATGTCATCATTACACTCCGGACAACAGACATCAGATTTTTAAAACAGTTTAAATAATCTAATGTGCCGGAATTCATCCTACAGCCGAGGTGTCATCTTGGTCATCACTACCAAGTTGATAAATGTGCATTAGATTTAAAAACATTATTAACAATTCAAGTGGAGTAACTCATGTTTCTCCAATGATAGCAGCTATGACAGTTGCATTTAAACACATTTCCGTTGCTGATAAAGCTACTTAATATGTCAGGCAACATCTCTAAAAAAGAGAGGAGGGATAAAGAAATGTTGAGATACAACTAAAGTCATTTTACTACATCTGTGCAGATCTGGAAAAGAGACTTGTCAGTAAGATAACTGTAAGTAGGTTAAATAGGATACAGACATCATTGTAATTGTTCAGAAGAAATTTGTTATAGACTGTTTGAACTGGAAATTTTATTTCTAAATTTGCCAATCTAGATTTTATGAAGTTCATTTTTAAAAAGAGTGAAAATATGAATAAATACATTTCCCTTTCTTCTTGAGTTTCCTAATCCATAATTGATAGTTAAAGCAAAAATTATAATGTTATCTCATAAACTTGTTATGAATATATGTAGGAAAGATATTTAAAACAATTATATTTTTAATAGGGAAGGATAAAGGGTAACATTTCTACACTTCACTTGAACTAGTAAAATGTCAACATCAGTAGCCAGTGTTATAAATATAAAATGTGATATTTGAGCAATAACTAAAATGTCCACACAAAGAGATACACTCAAAAACTATACAAATTAATCAAAAGGACATCTAAAAAATGTTAAAGAGAAGATAAAAAAACAAGACAAGAAAGACAGGGGCAAAAAAAAAAAGAAACAAAATAAGGAGAAAACAAAAAATAAAATCACACACATCAGTCTTAAACTATCAATAATTACATTAAATGTAAATGGTTTAAAAACACTAATTAAAGGCAGAGATAGGCAGAGTGAATTAACTAAATGATCCATGGGGAAAGGAGCCACCAAGCTAGCCTGGATATTTGAGAATTGAGGCAGCAGCTGCTGAAGCTACATCAGTGGGAAAACTATAATGATCATGGTAAATTGAAAATTAAGGAATGGAAATACAAATATGCCTTGCAGACATTTGCTATATTAATAACAAAGAAAGTAAATTTTAGGCCAGGGATGATAGCTCACACCTGTAATTTCAGCTACTCAGGAGGGTGAGGCAAGAGAATCACTTGAGCCTGGGAAGTGGAGGTTGCAATGAGCTGAGATCATAGACCTGCACTCCAGCCTGGGTGACAAAGCAAGACTTTACTTAAAAAAGAAAAGAAAAAAAGAGAGGAGAGGAGAGGAGAGGAGAAAAAGTAGATTTTAGAGTTAATAAAACTACCAAGAACATAGAGGGGCATTATATAATGACAAAATGGTTAATTCACCAAAAGATATACAATTTAAAAATGTGTGGGCATCAAACAATAAATTGTAAAATCTGTGAAGCAAGAACTGACAGAACCAAAAGGAGAAATTTAGTTGAAAACTTTAATACCTCCTTCTTGACAATTGCTAGAACTTGACAGAACATTATTATGAGTGTATAAGAACTAAAACACCATTAATCAAAAGTATCTAATAGACATTTATACAATATGCTGGCCCAAAACAACAGAAAACACATACTTTCTAGGAATTCTCATAACATAATAACAACATAGATTATATTCTGGACCATAAACCCAACCACAAAGATAACAGAAAAATATTCAAGCACTTGGAAACTAAACAGCAGACTTCTAAATAATCCATGGGTCAAACAAGATGCCTCAAAGACCTGCACATGTACCCCAGAACCTAAAGTAAAATGAAATAAATAAAAACATTGAATTGAATAATATGGAAATGCAGCATATTGAAATTTGTGGAACATAAATGAAGTGGTGCTGAAGGGAAATTTATAGTACTCAATGCTTACATTACAAAGAAGGAAAATCCTCACATCAATAATATATGCTTTCTCCTTAAGAATCTAAAAAGGAAAAAGAAAAAGAAACTCAAAACAAGGAGAGAGAAGGAAATACTAAAGATTGGAGCAGAAATCCATGATACTGAAAGCAGAAAACAATAGATAAAATTAATGAAACAAAGAAACAGTTATTTGAAAAGAACAATAAAATTTATCAAGTCTTTTGCAAGACAGAAGACATAAGTAATCAATGTCAGTAATGAAACTGGGTATATCACCACAAACCCTGCAGAAGCTTAGATAAAATGAACTGATTCCTGGAAAAGTACAGACAACTATAATTCACACAATGTCAAGTACATACTTCAAATAGCACCATAACTATTAAGGAAATTAAATATGTAATTTTAAAACTTCAAAAATAGAAATATCTAAGAACAGAAAATTTCATGATAAAATTCTTCCAAGTGGTTAAAGAATAACTAAAATCAATTTTATACAATATCTCCCAGAAAATAATGTGGAGAAAATACTTTTCAATTCATTTTATGGAGCTATTGTTACTATCCTGATAACAAAGCTACACAAAAGATAGTAGGAAAAAAAGGAAACTACAGATCAATATTCCTCACAAACATAGGTGTAAAAGATCTTTAACAAAATATTAGGAAATAGAATCCATCAATATATAAAGAGAATTATACCATAACCAATTATGGTATCATAACCAATTATTCCAGATGTACACAACCAGAATGCATGAATGTTCAACATTCAAAAATTAGTCAATGTAATCTGTCATATTAATAATCTAGAAAAAAATCCAAGATTGTATCAATTGATGCAGAAGAATCATTTAACAAAATTCAACACTTATTCATGATAAAATCTCTCAGAAAAATAAGAAGAGGAAAACTTCCTCAATTCAATAAAGAAAATCTATTTCTAAAAACCCAAAAGCTAGTATTATACTTAAGGTTCAAAGACAACACTTTTTTTCCTAAGACTGGGAACAAAGCCAGTGTGCCCACTCTCACAGCTCTTACTCAACATAATATTGGCAGTTCTATCCAATAGAATAAAGCCAGGAAATAAAATAAAGGCATACAGATTAAAGAGGAAGAAATAAAACTATCCATATTTGCAGATAGGATGATTATCTATGTAGACAATCCAGAAGAATCTCAAATAAAGTTCTAGAGTTAATCATCTGAGCAGGGTTGCAAGATGCAGGATAGGTAATCAAAATCAAATATATGTCTGTATACTATCAATGAACATATAGACACCAAAACTAAAAATATTAACAACTGCTCAAAACATAAGAGATTGTTATTTGCAATTATACCAAAACATATAAGATACTTGTGGGCTGAAAACTACCCAAAAAACTGATTAAAGAAATTAAGAAACATATAAACAAACAGAAAGATATACCATGTTCATGGACTGGAAGATTCAATACAGTAAAGGTGTCAATTCTTCCCAAATTGATATACAGGTTGAATGTAGTTGCTATCAAAATTGCAGCAAGATTTTGTGGTAGTAATAGATAACATTATTTTAAAATTTATATGAAAATGCAAAGGAACTATAATGACCAAAATAATTTTGAAAAAAAATATATAAAATGAAAATAATTAGTCTACATAATTTCAAGACATTTTATAGCCACGGTAATCATGACTCTGTATTGGTTGAGGGGTAGACATATAAGTCTGGGAAACATAATAGTAAACAGAGAAACAGATACACACAAATATGCCCAGTTGATTTTCGACAAAGGTGCAGGAGCAACACAGTAGAGTGAGGGTAGCTTTCTAAACAAATGGTGCTATTGTAATTGGCCATCTATAGGCAAAAATTCCAAAGTATCTCCAAAAATCCTCTATAACTAATATGCAAATCTCGAGATAAAATATAACCATGCAAAAATCAATCATATTTCCATGATGTCTTCAACCTAAACTTCACAGCTTCTACAAAAAATTAAATCCAAATAGATTGCAGGTTTAAGTGTAAAAACAGAGCTATATAATTTATAGAAAAAAAATAGAGAAAAATTTTAGGATCTTGAGCTAAGCAAAGATTTCTTAGACTAGACACAAAAAGCATGATATATGGAAGAAAAAAATGGTAAACATGGATGTCATCAAAAGAAAATGTGGGGAAACTGGGTCACTCATATGTTGTTAAGAATATAAAATTGTTCAGCCACACTGGAAAACAGTTTGGCAGTTTTTTATAAGACTAAACTTGCACCTACCATGCACCTAGCAATTGCAGCATAGGGCATAAATCCCAGAAAAATTAAAATTATGTACTGTGTCAAGGATATATGAGATCTTTCTGTATTATTTCTTACAACTGCATGGGAATCTACAATTGTCAACAAATAAAAACTTTAATAAAATACCATAATTTTTTAAAACACAAAAGATGTACAGACTTCATAGTCATCTGTTTTCTATCTCCCCAACCCCACTGCCAGAATGCAAGTGACAAGAGAGGTGAGATGAGATGTGGGTAGAAGTTGACCATTTCTTTGTCTCCTACACCAAAGAAGTGCATGGTGGACAGTGGACACTCAAATCTTTGTTGCATATGTCAAGGCAGGGACAGGTGCTGCAGAGTGACTTTCATAGAGCAAGGTATGCCAGACTGAAGCTTAGCAAAGAATTCCACAGTGCAGGGCCCTGCCCATGCCTTCAAACTTGTCTTAAACCCATGCTTCACCACAGACAGGTGCCTTGACTGCCTCTGTTCTGGAATTCTTCAAGAAACCCACAGATAATGTACACCTAGTGCTTGTCATTCCAATTCTGCCTTATGAAGCATGTCATTCAGTTTGCCTTTTGAAAATATCATTAAAGTTGTATTTATAATAATAATGACAGCTGACATTTATTAAGCATTTACAATGTGCTGGACATGTTTCTAAGCATGTATCTATTTTCCCATTTAAGCCATACAACTACTTGGAAATTCTATCATCTTCATATTTAAGAAGCTGAGGAGGAGAGATGTTAAGTAACTAACGGATTTACAAGCCAGTAAGTGTTTGAGGAGATACCCTAACTGTAGAGTTTCATTCTTGAACCCTGTAAACCATTGCACTGCATGGCCTCACATGGCTCAAGACTGAGTCCTGTATAAGGACAGGAGGTCCTGACCGCCATAAATTTTGCTATCACGTAGTGCATGAGGTATTTTAATTATGATTATTTTATTATGTTTTGTTTGAGACAGGGTCTTGCTCCGTTCCCCAGGCTGAAGTGTAGTGGCATGATCATGGCTCGCTGTAACCTCCACCTCCCAGAATCAAGCGATCCTCCCACTTCAGCCTCCTGAGTAGCTGAGACTACAGGTGTGCACCACCATGTCCAGCTTATTTTTATATTTTTTGCAGAGACAGGTTTTCACCATGTTACCCAGGCTGATCTCAAACTCCTCCTGGGCTGAAGCAATCCACCCACCTGGGCCTCCCAAAGTGCTGAGATTACAGGTGTGAGCCACCACACCTGGCTGGTATTTCAATTATGAGTTATTTATATACTGAGTGTTGTAAGCCTATACTTCTTTTCCTCCCTCTCCCTCTTTCTTTATTTCCACAACCTTCTTTTGACAGGAGAGATTATTTAAAAGACAGTTATTAACTCAGGGCATGTAGAAATATAAAAAAAGCGGTTTTGTAAACCTTCAGAAGAAACTAGAAAAAGAATATCAAAGGCCAGGAAAGTAAATAACAGTTATAAACTCTTCCCCACTCTATTTTTATAAATAAAATGTTTTAAAATTGCAATGTCAATTCGGGTTTTCTTATACCATAGAATTTTAGATTTTGTGATGTTTGGGACAAATAGCTACACAGTCCTAAGGGTCAACAGATGTTATTAAGCCATTTTATTGTAAGAGGAATTTTTTTTTAATTCTTCATTTAAATATTACTCCATTTCCAGTCGCAAGACACTGAGTCCCAAGGATGGCCCTTTGTTTTCTGAGACAGACAGGAAGGTAAAGGTGATGGCTGGGAGGAAATACACTGAAAAGTCAAGAAATAACTGGATTGTTCATATGAAAAGTAGAGTTAGCAGATTCGAGGGAGAGACCTGGGAGAAGGAGGAGGCACAGGCTGGCCAAATGCAGGGGCTGCCTGAAAGGAGGGGAATGAAGGTAGAAAAAGGGGTGTGAGAAATCCATTCTGAAACAAAGAACGTGGACCCAACACTGTTTAGAGAGAGCACCAGGAGAAAGATTGGAAATGTTGAAGGAGAAGTGTTTGAGGTTTCATCACGCAATGTCCGATGGAGACCATTTTCTGGGTCTCTCCACAAAATCCTTAGCAAAATTTCTACCTCTGAGGAGTTGCTTAGAAAAGTTAGAAGCTTGCTAAATTTGTTAACAAGAAATTTCAAATTATAAGGCATAGACAGAAATGTCTATTCATTAACTCATGAATTAAAAGAGTAAAAAAAAAATTGGTTCATGTGTTAAGAAAATCAGTTCTACTTATCTGGATTAACATGAAATTTAAAACTAAGTTTGATATGACTTATTACAGCTTATTCTCATTCAACCTTCTTCTAAAACTGTTGTAGAAAAGACAACCTTGAACTATTGTACTAAAATCTGCTTGGATGGAGAGTGATTCATGGAAATGAAATCAGAAGAACCACTGAACTGTCTAGTGAAGAGACTGAAGTTGCCTTCAGGGCCCAGACAGCAGAGTTCCCTCGATTCTGCAGCAGTCTTACTTTAGCCCAAGAAGGAAAAGAGCCTGAAGACTCTACCAAGAGACCAGCAATGACACAGTCAACAGGCAGCAGAACCAAAAGCCAAAGCAGGCTCTAGGCGGAGCTTCAATGACTCCAAATACATTCGCTCATTTGAACTTCTCAACATGTCCTCCTTCGACTCTGCCTCCTCATGCAGATTAAGAAACAGACCTAAGTCCTCGCCATCCTTGCCACTGATAAAGTGAAACCAGAAAGCAAGATGAAGCTCTGTTTTTCCCCAGTATCCCACTGGGGAAGGTAGACATTTTGCTAAGGATTTTGTGGAGAGACCCAGAAAATGGTTTCCATCATACGTTGCGTGATGAAACCTCAAAAACTTCTCCTTCGGCATTTCCAATCTTTCTCCTGGTGCTCTCTCTAAACAGCGATGGGTCCACGTGGTTTCTGAATGGATTTTCTCACACCCGATTTTGCACCCTCATTCCCTTCCTCTCAGGCAGTCTTCCTGGATGCCTCAGAAAGAGAAACTGAGTCATCAGTCAAGTCACAGTGTCACTCTGTCCTGATTTCTTCTCCAGAGTATCAAGTAGCAAACTGCCAGGGATATAAGCTCTTTGGGGGATGAATGCAAACATCACTGGGTCATTTGCCAGTAAATCATTTCCAAATGTAGTAAATTCGGATAATTGAACCTATCTATCCACCCATGGGAAGCAAACCCTTCCCAGTTAGTAGTAACTGACACACTCAGTCACGTGGGCAATTGCTCCTCTTGGACAACAACTAATTGATATACTCTTCCACATGTAAACATTTGAATGTTAACTCTCTGCACTTGCATGTTCTTTTGGTTTCAACCAATTCTGTAGGGAGGGGGGAAAAGACTGATTGGCTGATTGAATAATAGAGAGCCAAAATAAATAAGAAAAACTGTACAGAAACAATTTAATTTTCCAGCGGACCCATTCACCGAGTTTGGGTACCAGCCATCTTTTTCTTGATGATCAATCCTAACACCTGAAAATACTCGCATGAGAAACTATTTTTCTAGATTTGGTCCTTTTTCTATGAATCTGAGTAAACCATTCACCTTCACTAAAAGCAGGACCCTAGGTTGTTTTCAAAGCTAGAGCTATTGGTATCCATTGGTTACAAGTCAATATTGATATGAGATTTTGTTACCTAAGAATCTCCCAATAGAATTTTGTCTCTGACAGCCAATCCTTCTTTGTTCATGCTCCAGTCTGTTCTCATTTCCTCCCAGCCAGAACTAGTAAGGGCACGGCATTCATGTTCAGTGTGGTGCCACCAAAACCAGAGAGTGGATTGGCATCTCCTCCATCACTACCACCTTAATGTCACCTCTTCCCAGGCCACTCAAAGTCAAAGGAAAACACATGAGTCTAGATATATGCAGTCTCTGGAAACTGTCAATTGCCCTGTAAATGGAATACACCATAATCACGCAAATGGTTCTTCTTGTTCATTTATGCTGCACTCTAAACCCCATGCTGTGCTGAAATCCTCACATAGTCAACGTTTCAATGTTGCTGCAGATCTGAGCTGTTAATGTTACATGTTGAATTTTCTTTTGCCATTTCCACTCACATTCCAAACACCTTGTGTGAAACCAGCATTCTTGTTAATTATTTTTCATATCACAAGCATTTCAGTCTTGCTATTACAGAGGACCATATAACTCAATGTCCAAAATGCTACAAAAGATAATGCTGTTATTAATTATTCAAGGACTTAAAGCAAGAACTGAGACTGTGCTAGGCAAACCAGGATGTGTGGTCAGGCTGACTACAAGCCTCCTATTATGGAAACTCTGTTTCAATGCCTGTGTTATTTTATAATAAAGAGATAAAAGCTGATTAATCCTGGGGCTTATTTTGTCTTTTTCTCATTACTTGGAATCCATTATGCAGGTGTTTCTGGAGAAGAGAAAGTTCTTCTCTGGTCATTTTCACTGTTTATATCTCTGGTCAATTTTTTTCTCTTTGTGCTATCTCCTGCCTAAATTGCACTGCTTTCTATTTCCCTTTGCCAATACTTCTTTAATTGTATATTTTTTTACTAATGTAGAAATATTATACCGTAGGTGTATTTGGAATCATGTCATTTCCATTGGGATGGTATCTTTTATTTTTAAAAATCTAGAGTTGCTATTTTGAGATCTAATTGCATGGCATTGAATACGCTCATTGCTCATTTGTTATAACGAAAGCATCCTTAAACCCAGGCTTCTGGGTTAGGAAACACCTGCTGGGAAACATTATGCTCCAGCCAAAAGTGTGTAAGGGATAAAAGAGAAAAAAAGCCTGTCAAGAATCACATGAGAAGGTGAGGAATCAGGTGTACCCTTCTACTGGGGTTTAGAAGCCTTACCTGAGTTTAGACATGATACATGATAAAGGAAATTTATGTTTTACAAAGATCATTTTAAAAAAGAAATAATTTGCTGAATTTAAAACTTCAAATAAAGTTTAGATTTGCGGAAGTGTAATGCATTTATCAGAAAAAAATATATATTGATTTAACAATTTCATCCACAAGGATCATGAAATAACAACATAATTTCACAATCTTGCATCTTCATACTCCCCTGCCTAAAAAAGCTACAAAGAATAACACATTTTATGTCATATAAGCAAAAATGAATAGTCTCTCCCTAGGCTTAAAAAAATGTTGCTTTAAAATAACTGTGCTGGTTTACATTCAAACTAAAGCTTCCATCAAGGTAGGTTTGTTTTTTAATTCCTCTCAAAATAAACATTAAGTAGGGAAAGTGGTATTTTAAACCAGAAAAAATATATGTATGTTTTAAATCAGAAAAACTATGTTGGCAAAGTTGTTTAATAATATAGGAAGGACTTGCTCAAAACAAGTACTCAAAATTAAATCCATAATACAATTGTAGCCACAGTTATGATGTTTTTCACACACTCACACATACACAGCTTAGTAAGCTCTCTCTTCAAAAGACTGGAAGTAAATAAAACAAAACATTCATTATAGTTTTTCCTTTCTTGATGATGGAATATAAATAATTTTTTCTTGGATTTTTTCATACTTTCCCGAACTTTTCACATTTCCTGCTATGAACATATATTATTTTTAAAATAATTTTATTGCAAAAAGAAACAAATAGGAAGGAAAAACAGCAGTCAAAAGACTAATGGCTCCCTGAAAGCTTTTTAAACAAAAAGTGTGAGTAACCGTGTTGTCTATTTCCTCCGCTACACTGCCATCCCCTGAACTGAAAATCTTGATCTTATGGGAATCTCGTACACAGTAATGTCAGGACATTCCCATATTAACTAGGCAAACTCAATCAGATCCACAAAGGCAGGATAGGTGACTCTGGCTGGACACATTCTAACAGTGCTGGGAAGATAGAGGTGCATTGTCACAGCCTCAACATAGACAGACAAAAAACACATGCTCCTTGCCTGAGAACCACCCAGATTGTTCCAATGGCTTACATTCTTTGGCCATGTGTGATGCAGTCACAGTCACATGCCTTGTTAGGTCTCATGTATCTTCATGGGTGGAGAGCAATGTTTGAAGCACATTCACACCAGCTATGGGGGAGCATGTCCTCTTCTTAAGGACTCACATGAAGGCTTCACACTAAAGAGAAACATGCTGTCAGAACAGCCACCACCATTCCCTGAGTGTTCTGTGCCTCTAGAAGGATTCAGGCTCCGCTTGAATTGGCAGTCTCTCCAAGTCGTGAGGAATATCCATCCAGCCCTGTGCCACGCGCTGAATTCATTTTTGTCCATGGAACAGCTGAGCCTCTTCAAGTTCCAGGAAGCAGTTAGTGGAGGGTTTCTCCCTCCAGCCCCTGCCCCCACTTCTATTTTAATGATAGACACAGACAGAAGGAAGGCAAAGCGACAAAGCCACCCCTTTGTCAAGGGAGAGAATAGCCACAATAACATCCCTTTGCAAACCGCCTTGGTCTCCCGGCGTTAATGAATCTCATTAGGATGTGCAGGTGTGTGACCTCCGACTCCCAAGATTTTGATGTGTAAAGCTCTTAGGGAGGGTATTCCATTTACTAGAAGTGAATGCCCTAATCATTAATGTTATCCTGCCTTTTTGATAGAATCAGAGTTCAGGAAAAGCAGCAAATCTAATGGGTGCTGTCTCTCATTATGCTGGCTTGGCTCGGCCTGGATCAGGCGTCTGCACCCCAACACTCCCAGAGTAAGAGCTGTATAGATCAGTTCTGTCAAAGTGATTTGTTCTATTAGCTAAAATTGAAACAATCAAGCTGAATGGGGTGAGGCAAGTTATAGTACCCATATTTCTGAGATAAAACTATAAGATCACTAGGTCAAAATTGCCTGCAAGAGACAGGGAACATGAAAATCCAGTTCTGGCAAATATTCCTGGCACCAGTTTCTAGCTGCACCACTAGCTTTATTAAAGAAGCACAAATGCCAGGCACGGTGGTTCACACCCAGAATCCCAGCACTTTGGGAGACTGAGGTGGGAGGATCAATTGAGGCCAAGAGTTCAAAACCAGTCTGGGCAACAAAGCAAGATCCTCTCTCAAATTTAAAAAAAAAAAAAAAAAAAGGCACAAATGTTCAACAAAACTATTCTATACAACACATATTCTCTATCCTTATGATTTAGTGCTTGTCATTTCTCTCTTGACCTGCTAGCCACTCTCCCTGAGTATGTGTCCCTCCCATGAGAACAAGATCTAGCTTTTCTATCTGTGCTTCTGTATGTACCATGACCACGTGTGCAGTGATCTTCTATGTTAAATGTAGATGAACACAAAGAACGAAATCATAAGTAGCATGGCTTCAGGAAGGAGCACAGGCTTTGGAGTCTGAAGACATGCAACAACTCACCGTATTTGAAACTTTGAGTCAAATTCAGATTCCTCATCTTTAAAATGGGATAATTATCTGTATCTTGCAGGACTGTTGAGATTATCAGAGGTCATGAATGTGTCACATTAAATGGTAGCTGTGCAAACTAACACAAGAACAGAAAATCAAACACTTCACGTTCTTACTCATAAGTGGGAGTCAGACAATGAGAATACATGGACACAGAGAGGGGAACATCACACACTGGAGCCTGTCAGGGGTTGGGGTACTAGGGGAGGGTTAGCATTAGGAGAAATACCTAATGTAGATGATGGGGTGATGGATGCAGCAAACCATCATGGCACATGTACACCTATGCAACAAACCTACACGTTCTGCAATTGTACCTCAGACTTAAAGTATAAAAAAAAAATGAAAGCTGTGGCTATTACACTATTTTTCTCACTAGAAATAAAGCTTCTTTTCCTTGGGTAAAACTTGCATCATGCATACAGCACCACTGGTTTTCTTTTAAGTTCCTTAATTATTTATTGTATAATTATTATTGAAACATTAAATAAAGATTTAATAAACCCTTCTTCACTGGGATGCTGCAGGATGTGGATACAGAAAGAAGTCTCTACCCTCTGAGAAGTGAGAATCTCATTGCAGAACTCAGTCTAGAACAACACAGAAGCCCCAAAGCCAACAGCACCAAACTCTGCACTGTGCCCAGTAAGTGCTGGTCTATTGAGTTGAATACAGATAAGGGTGGGAGGCTGTGGTCAGTGGTGGCAACTAGAAGAAAGAATGTGGGGTTTATTCTGTGGACTCTGTCATTCCAGGGCCCTGGGAGACCTGGGTTTGTAGCTGGGTGGGTGGACCAAGTCCGTAAATGAAGGCGAGAATGAAGGCAGGTGCTCCATGGGCCCTGAGTGGCACACAGGTGGTCACCGAACAGCAGCAGCAGGAGTATCGTTTTTGAAAAAGAATTTTCGATTTTGTAATGGGTATTTTGCCTGTTTTTTCTAGGGCAGGTGGTGGGGATTATTTTACTTATTTCATCTCCAAGCTCCATTTGGGGAATTCTTCCTGGTCAGCTGAGCTTGTTCCAAACTGTCTCCCAGGTAGGAGGTTGCCCATGAGCCTGTCCCATGTCCCTCCTCCTGGCACAGAACGCTGACAGCAACAATAACAAGACCCTGAGCTGGTGTCACGAACTCTAGGGGTGAGTAATGGTGCCATCAGGGTGGGATTGCCCTGACATCGTGCCTTGGGCCAGCGCAGTACCAGGAGACTGGAAACTGGGTTCTGATTTCTGCCCTGCCATCCACCACTATATGCAAGCCCAGGACTATCCCAGCCATTTCAAACCCTCATAGAAGGACCACGCTGCTCCTTGGAGCATATGTGACATGATGCCCACACACTTGTGTCTGAAATAAGGGAAGAAATGGCAGCCGCAGTGGTGATGTCTACCTTCTCCCATTAGCCTGTGAGGGAATCTCGATGTCTCAGAGCTGGAAGGCCCTTCCAAGTCTCCGCAGATGAGGAGCTGTACCTGCTGGCCAGCTGCTCACCGCCTGGTGGACAGGATGGTGGGCAGAGAAGGTGCTGTGCCAGGAGGTGCAGCCGCTCCGGCAGGCTTCGTGAAGTCATCGGATGTTATATTTAACCTCATCACAGTTGGGCCAGCAGCCGGTGCACCAGACATCCCCATATAACTATGAGCACAGTTCACAGGCTGCTTTGGGTCACCATCTGGAGGCGCCAGAAAGAAGGCGTCCTGGCACTGCAGAAGCAGACAGCAGCCCATCCGTGTAGGAATAGGTCCATTTAGGGAGCTGCGGCCAGGCACTCCACACCCAAGAATTTCATGAAGTGAAAAATCAAAAGCTACACGAAGAAGTTTCCCACAGTCTTCTTGTTAATAAGCGCTTGGTTCTGTGTGACACTGATGTCATGCGGCGCTTTGCTTTGCTGTGTTTTGCTTAGTTTCTTTTTGGTTTTTTGGTTTTTT